AACTACATATCCACCTAAATCCTTCCAATACTAACTAAAAACATTGAACATTGTGTCCCCGATCGAACAACTTAATCTATAACCACCAGTCTGGCTCTAGGAAAGATCACTCCTGTGAAACTACTTTTCTTTCAATATTAGAATTAATGAAAATGTTTCTGGAATTCTTTCTCTTGACCTTTCAAATGCATTCAGCCTAGTAGATCACTTCATTCTTATTCAGAAACTTCAAACACTTAATATCAGCAATTTCCAATATCAAAATGTTTTCATGTTTGCGCATAATTCTATTTATATGTCCATAGTAAAAACCACAGACCTCTATAGTAACACCGGTGACATTCTGCAGCAACAATTGACATTCCATAGAAACCAGTGCCTTTCAATGGCAACCAATGACTTCCGTAGCAACAATTGACTTACATAACAACCACTGACAACAACCAGTGCTTTCCGTGGCAAGCAATTACTTTCCATAGGAACCAAAGACCAATATTGCAAACGTTGACTTTCCATAGCAACAATAAACTTCCACATCAACCGTTAATTTTCCATAACAACCAGTTACTTTCCACAGCATTGATTGACGTCCATAGCATCAATTTACTTTTCAAAGCAACCAGTGGCTTTCTTTATAGCAACCAGTGACCAACATTTCAACCATTGACTTTTCATAGCAACCAGTAACTTTCATAGCAACCAGTGGTTTTTCATAGCAACCAGTCACTTTCTACAGTAGCCACCGACTTCCATATCACCCAGTGACTTCTCATAGCAAACAATGAATTTATATAAAAACCAGTGCCATTCCCTGGCAACCATTTACTTTCTATAGCCGCCAGTGACCAATATTGCTACCATTGAATTTCCCAAGCGACGATTGACTTCCATAGCAACATCTATCGTTCTAAAGCAAACGATGCCTTAGCTTTCACTGACTTTCCTTGGCAAACAATTACTTTTCATAGCAACCATAGATTTCCAATAGACACCACTGATTTTCCATAGCAACCCTATACTTTCCTTAGTAACCAGTGCTTTCCCATAGCGTCATAGCAACCATTGACTTTCCATAGCAACCATTGACTTTCATTGTAACCATAGATTTGTCATAGCAACAATACACTTTCCATAGCAACCGTAGACTTTCCATAGCAACCAGTGACTATGAAACTTCATAGGAAGAAAAATCACTTTGGGAAGAGGTGCAGTGCAAAAGAAAACTGGTACTCTGTACTTGATGATTTTTGATTTATTGCCCTTTGTTTAATTTTCATACTTTATTTTGTCCGGGCCTCCGGGCCTATTCTCCTACACTTTAAAAGCTATTGACATGAAACTTCATAGGATGATGGATGTCATTGAGAAGAAATGCAGTGCACAAGAACTTGTACTCAGCATTTCGTGATTTTTAATTATTGCCCCTTGTTAATTATCTTACTAAATAGGCTTGTCCAGAGCATAACTTGAACACTATAGGTTTGATTGACCCCAAATTTGGTATGCAAGCTTTTTTCATCGACGTGAAGTGCAATGCACAAGAACCCATCGAAGAGTCCTTCATTTTATTTGTCAGTGTAAAACATTTCCATGGTATTTTTATTTTTATTCCCCCGAAGGGCGTCATATTAAAATCACATCGTCTGTCCGTCTGTCTGTCTGTCTATGCGTCCCCACTTTATTTGTGCCCGGACTGTAACTTTGGCATACATTTAGGGATCTTTAAATAGCTTGGCAAAAATGTCTACCACATCAAGACGATGTGTTGCTTCCAAGAACCACAAAGATCAAAGTCACACTAACATTTTGAAGTATTAGAGATAATAGGTACACACATTCGTGTCCAGACTGTAACTTTGTCATGCATCGGATGATTTTAGAATAATTTGGCATAAATGTCTACCACATCAAGACAATGTGTTGCGTCCAAGAATCACGTCCCTACACCAATGGTCAAGGTCACACTAACATTTTGAATTTACACTTTATAACAATAAGAGTTAATAGGTACACACATTTGTGTCCGGACTGTAACTTTGTCATGCATCAAAGGATTTTAAAATAACTAGGCTTATGTACGTCCGTCCGTCCATGCGTATCCACTTACACAACAAACATGTCCAGACTGTAACTTTGTCATGCATTGATGGATTTTGAAAATTATAGGGCATAAATATCTATCACATGACAACGTTGTGTCGCATCCAAGAATCACGTTCCTTCTTCAAAGGTTAAGGTCACACTAATATTTTGAAGGTTCACGCTATCACAACTAGAGATTGTAGGTACACACATTGTGTCCGGACCATAACTTTGTCATGCATTGAAGAGTTTTAAAATAACTTGGCACAAATGTCTATGACATCAAGATGGCATGTTGTGTGTAAGACAAATGTTCCTACATCAAGGTCAAGGTCACTCTAATAGTTTGAAGGTACTTATGCTCATAAGAAGAGTTTGAAGGAACACATAAGTTTCCAAACTGTAATATTGTCATGCAGTGAAGGATTTTAAAACATGTAGCAAAAATGTCTACCACATTAAGATGATGATTGTCGAAAGGTGTTAAGTTTGCTATAAATAGCACTTCATTTCACAAGAACAATATTAAGCAATTAGTAACTTTCATTTCCTTTCCTTTCATAACACCAGCATGCTTAAGAAACTTTTTAGGGGGCATTCGTCACTTGAGTGACAGCTCTTGTTATTAATACAACAGTTTTATTAATCCTGACGTGACATTGTTATAATCAGTTCAAATGCTCCTAAAATTAAAGGTACATGTACATCGCAAGAGCAGTATTTATAAATAACCTAAAGTTAAGACGAAAATACCTAACTGAGAGCTATACTGTTGACAAGGCGACACATCCAACTCGCGGAGTTCTAGTTAAACAAAATGTTACAATCTATCATTTTATACAGCGCAATACCAATATACAATTTACGAATCAATAAGTCAATGGTGGCTGTTTAAACATCAAATAATGTTACAATTTAACATTTATCAATACATACATATATGCAAACCATATAGAAAATATTTTTTTAAAAAAACAGAGGAAAAACATTAATGCTGCTTATATGGTAAGGAGAAAAATTATGTTTGAAAAGACATATGATTTCTCAATTCGGAAGCATTAAATACAAAATTTGCTATTTTTAAGTGCATGTTCACTTTTTGTTTTAATAACTTCAATAATTTCAATATGTTATGATATTTCCAAAAATGTTTGTCAATGTCTTTTATTCTTAAGTTGTTATATACACTACACTCCATTAAAAAATGAAACTCGTCTTCAAAAGTTTTCTATACATAACATTTTCCTTAATGTATAGTTATGTTATTTGGTTTGTGCCATCGGACTGTTTCTATTGCTTATATGTGTGCTGACGATCGGAATGTGAATGTTGTTAATGAAAGTCGAAATTTAGTCACATGAATCCTTTATAAGTATTCTTTAAAACCAAACTCTGAAAATTACCTGTAAGATGATGCCCGTGTGGAGTTTTCATTTCAGCTTCTAAGGTGTTGCAAAAAGTATCTTTTAGTCTCTGCTTTAATAAATTAATAATTTTTTCTTTCGTTACCTACACACGGCATAAGCCAAACTTTGTAGCAACTTTGTCCAATAATTTTTGTTTGGTTATATTTTGTATGTCATTAAGCATCACAGTTTAAATTTTCTTAACATATTTAGCATCACCCATCTTTATGATTTTGAACAAAAAAATGAATCATTCTTGTATTTCTAAGGGTCGTTTTGCTCAATTCACTATAAAAAAGGAGTTCTGAGTCTGCAGTCTTACACCTGGTAATGATTTACAAACATGAATATGACTGTTTCCAAGCTTCTTTACTTCAGCAAAACCCCAGATTTCACATCCGTAATTTAAAATTTGAACGATAAGTATATCAAAAAGTTTTAAACATGTCTCATTTGAAGGTCTGTGAATTTTTGCATAATTATACAGATAAAATTACTTTTTGCTTCTAGTGTTTGGCCAGCTAACACATTCTATGTTTGAATAAATTACGCTCCTGTAGAAAAAAGAAACACTATCCAAATTTAAAAACCTGTGAATATTTTTTTAAGTCTGTTCCATCATACTTGAACATTCAATTCGTTCTATTTCTGCAACCTTTTTTTATCATTATTTTTATTTTACGAGAATTAACTGTAAGTCTCCATTTCGCAATATATTTTTTAAAATGGCAAGATTTTTTTGAAGTCTTAATCAGGTTTAAGAAACTATTAGTATATCAGATAACAGATAAAACAATTTAAACTTTCCTATGTTTGTTTGTTTGTTTGTTTGTTTCATTTTACGCCTTTTTCAACAGTATTTCAGTCATATAGGCGGGTAGTTTCCTAACCATCGTTCCTGGAGAGTTACACCAGTACTAGACTACCTTCCTCCGCGCTAAACTACCAAAGCATCTCCCGGGGATCGAACCCACGTCAGAGAGGTAACTGGATTAGAAGTCATCGACTCTAACCCCTCGACCACGGAGGCGGTTATATCTACACCTTTAAATCCGTTTCTGAAACCGTTTCATATGACAGTTTCTTCCAAATCGTAAGGAAGCACCCCCAATTTACAAGAGAAGTAATTACTTAACTATTATTTATCTAAACTTTTGATTTTATACAAGAGTAAATTGACTTAAGAGTTTGTAAAAGTATCCCTCGAATCCCAAGTTTAATCAATTTCAACCGTAAATATATATGCACATAAAATGTCCCTATTTGCAGCGTTTCTCTGAGAGAAGATAGATATGTCCGCATTGGTATGCTTTAAGCAGTGTGAAAAATATAAACATAAAAGATCACAATTTTAAGTTCAGACTGCGTATAGTACAGGTAATTGAATTGAAGCTGGTCCAAGCCAAAACACCGAAAAATAATCATAACATTTATTAGCCTTATTTGAATTTGGAGTAAGTGATGCATGATGATATACTGTATATCTGAATCAACAAAATCTTAAGCTGCTACATTGACCTCTTATAATTGAAAGGTCAAAATGTAGATGTACTATCTGTATCTTAACATCGTCTCTTGCAAAGTTATTAAAGCATAACGAAAACGAGACAAATAAAAACTAATCATATTTATACGATAAAGGACGAGAATAAACTGTTCATTAGTCAGGAATACAGGGTATTTTATTGTGTATGCTGTGTCATAAAAAATGGATTCTGAAAGAAAAACAGCAGACGGCACGCCGGAAGCTGATGTTGAGGTTGAGGAAACGAAGTATGTTCTATACGGTGTTGAAGACGTTCCTTCCCCGCCAGTGTGTTTTATTTTTGGCTTACAGGTAAGATTTTTGGTTGTCATTCACTGCAGTAAGTCTTACTTTTAGATATATATACATAGCATTTTGTGTCTTGAGAGGGTGAATTTGGGATTGTCCTCGCTGGTACTGTAGTTGAGTCTGTAGTAATATTTTTTCAGGCATAATGTAGCTCACCTTTGTTAATTTTTTGTAGTGTAATAAAAAGATGGTACTGTGAATATATTTTTTTCGCGCATAATCTTATCATAAAAATGATCTTACCTGTATTGATTGCTTATAGTGCAATTACATTTTGCGTCATGCTTTTAAGGAATACATTGCCATCATTGTTTATGTCAGTGATTTATTATAGTAACAACAATGTTTACAGGTAGTGCAACGTAGGTTTAATGCGCACTTATTTGGATTACAACAGTCTCGTCGTTGAAAAGTTAGCAACTCGGCCGAGCAAATCACAAAATTGTAAAAACAAACATGAACAGATAAACATATGTAGAAGTGACACATACGTGTGAAATTCTTACGTTTCGTGATTGATTTCATTATATCAAGCTTTTTTACATTATTCCATTCCGCCAGCGATGGAATTATAATTTACGTATGCGCGTTCTGCACAGGGCAAAAAGCGAGATTGATGTAATAATTGGAAGAGGTAAACAATCTGATTTGATAGTAAGGAATAATTTTAATGCTGAAAGATGTGAGGGTCCATGCATTATTAGTATATATATATAGTTATTATATAAAGAACATATTGCATTTTGTTTTAATTTAACAAGAAATATCTTCTTGTGTAATTAAAGTAAAAGTAAAAGATTTTGTTATTAAAGTGACTGTTTCAATGTAAATGAGTTTTTTTTATAATCCATTCGTATGATAAATGATGTTAAGATATACTATATACTATCTGCATTTTGTCAGGTAGGCAATATCTATATGCGCAAGATATTTACTATTCCCTTAGAGGAAGTTATCATTATAATTATTCTGTCTAATTTTTAGAAATTTTCCTTCGCAGCTTATCAATTTTTTACCATGAAGTGTTCAATTAATTAAGTAACTGGTCGTTAAAGTATTAAGTTATTTAATTTATTAATTATTTATGTCTCATCTGAAATACAACATAAAACATATCTAAATCTAAAATCATGTACACGTATTTAGCCATTCTTTACAAAATTACAAGAGACTACAAATGCGTTAATCATTTATATAGCCTTTTATAATATATATTGACAATTTAGAAAAAGATGCTAATCGTTAAACAAAGTTAATGCAAGAAATATGTAAGAATATCGTAATGTAACTCTAGGAGCATTTGATATCCTAAATAATAATCATAATAACAAATAAGGTTGGACTTAAACCACTTTCACCTTGGTTCTGGTTCGATGGTTGTGCCTTTTTAAATAAAAGATCATGATATGAAGAGTAATGAAGAATAACGTGAGATTCTTACTCAATATTAACACCACAAAGTGGATATTTACGTTTCCCTTCTTCTCTTAAGTTGTCATATTTTCAAGTTTCAAGTCTTCACCACAGCGCCTTTACTTTACCAGAACATGGCAATGGAGGCATTATCATAATAAAATAATGTTCAACACACAAAAACCTAACAAGCACAGAAGATAAATACAGACTTCCATTGGCGGACAATAGGAGGCTACAAGATCATTTAATTTACTAGTGCAGCAGTCGCCAATAATTTCCCAATACCCTAAAATCTCATGGCTTTATTATGGATGGCAGAAACCGTTTAATCCGAACTTTGATGCCCATTACATGTGAGAAATTGGTGAAACATTGTAGTATATGCACAATAGTCTTGGCAATATGTATAAATTACACTGTGGTGTTGTGGGTACACATGTAGATCAATTGGTAATAAATAAAATTTAAGTTCTAAATTACATATTACATTGTATAAGTTGTTGAAATTAAATTTGTCAAATGTCCCAAAATGTAGTAGTAATGCAGTATGAAAAAGAATGAATATTAATAGTGCTATTACACTACCTTGAAATGTTTTAATAGCTTAAGATATCTTAAGTTACTAAAACCATGCTTATGGATAGAAAAATTCTGAAAAGACAGACATAAGATCAAGTCAGCTAAACTAAAGCACATATTTATGGACATGTATTATAAAATAGTTTGTCCTTTTTTTAGAATAATTTTTTTTATCTTCGTTGTAAGTACTTCCTCCTCATATTCCAGGTGAGCTGTGTAATTTTTAAGTTTTTTTAAAATAATTTCAATATTGTTTTTTTTTTTGAATGTCATTGTAACTTTCTTCTTGCTTAAAAAAATGAATTTTGATTTTTCTTTACAAAAAATGGTTTTAATGATTTTTAAATCTTGTGGAACCTCAAATTGGATGTCTGAAACATTTATCCTAATCATTTTTTTCATGTCTTTTTAGGTTGCCTTGGGCAATATCTTCTTCTTACCTTTTAGTTTAAAGATATACTGTTTGACAAAATTAAATACTTTTTTTACAATGAACTTAAGTGGAATAGCCTTTGAACGTCAACAAACAATGTATATTTCTGTATAGATAAATGATCATTTTGCCCTATGCAGACTGCGCATGTTCGTGAAAACAACAACATCCGATCGAAATTACATACCGTAAATTGTTAATTTAACTGATGCATATATGCACGTAACTATTAAATTTCATCTTCATTACCGTTCATTTGATAAATGGTAACAAAGTTGAAACTATTTTATCTTAATTTTCAAATTTTGTATTCTTCAACAAGGCATAGCCAAACAGTAGATTCATCACAAGATATTAATAACTTTATCCTACTTACATTAAGCAAAAAAGTGTCTTTGTCAAAAACAATTTAATGCAAGTTGAAATAGTGAGCACCTTGCCGTTGACAGTTAAACACAGTACTCAATTAGTGTGCTTACAATAATTGTTAAACTGGTAAAATAACACAAACTGGTTTAAGTATTATTTTAACTTTTAGCAAGCTATAATAGGTATCTCTCACTCTTGAAGTACATTTGATAATTGATTTTTGACACTGAATAGAACAACCACTTTTGACTTCCTGGTGTTGGTATCTTTAGCATCTATGTAAATTTCAGCAAGCTATAATGTGCATTGGAGGGACTTTATCTTTGCCATACCTTATACCAGGATATATATGTGCCGAAGGGAACTATGACGTCACAGCCAAGCTGATGAGTATAACTCTATTCATGTGTGGTGTCGCAACAATTCTCCAGACATTATTTGGTATCAGGTATAATTTAGGGCTTCATTTCAGTTTTTTTTCTTGGCAAGCTTTCTTTGCATTTTGCATAGAGGTTTCGTTTATTCTATTTAATTGTTCAAAAATTGTGTCATCATTTTACCAAAGACTGAGTTATATGGTAAAATGAAAGTACATGTGAAAATGATCAAATACCGGGTATAACTTATTCAAAAAATAAAATCAATATTAATAGTTTTAATATTTTGGTTTCCCTGGAAAAAAGAATATTAAAATGTTTTTAATTCCACTTAATTCAATCAGCATTTAACCGAAATAGACTTGAATGTCAAATATATAATATATTCGTAATACATTATCAGATTACAAATCTCTTTTTTTGTTAAAAATGTTAAATCACGTGGTCGAACTTACTTTCAATTCGTAATAACGGTCCTAACATTATTAACGAACGGAGCAGATATTCCACGAATACTAGTAAAACGTCATTTTCAATTTGTTCAGCCTCTGCTTTTAACGATTCTTAACATTATCACTCGAAACAAACAAATATCCTATATCTATTTGTAATAAA